CACTGTGATAAGGCTTCCTCAGTACACACTGATCTACTCTGCTGAATGTATGGCGAGGCAAACTGGCAGACAGCTTCCCTTTGCTCCAGAGACATTATATATCATTGGGGTTATGTATTGGCTGTGAAATATGGGAGTCACTTTAAACAAAGAATCATCGGTTTTTATTGCTGTTGATGTGGGACAATTGCTCACACCATCATTAACAGGTTCCCAGGAACAGTCTCATATGGATGTTAATTCAGAAAGCAAGAACACGGTTTAACTCGTGACTGACAATGATGATTTCAGTCATGGTCAGCCTTGACGGTTCAAAGCTGACCCTGTCTGCTGACTCCAGGTTTTTATAACTTGACAGCTCTTAAACTGCTGTTGACTCACCTTCACCTTGCTGCTCTTTTGAGATGGATGCTCTGCGAGCCGCTTTCTGAATAATGCCTTGGTTTCTGCCATGGTTTTAATGGTGATATGTCTATGGAGTTTTCTAAATTCCAGATTCCACAGAATGGCTCACATGCTGATTTCTTTGCTTCTTTTTTGAGGCATTTTCTCTTTCTTTGATAGTTGGCAGGAAATGAGGGCAACCAAGGTCCCCTGGCCAGGGATTGAACCGTGGACCTCACAGTTATCGGTTATTTGCCTTACCCATTAGGCAGCCGGATACCCCCGAGCAGAATCCTCCCTCTCAAATAACTGTAATTTATTGTGATGCACATGTCTTTTATTGTGAAGCAGCCACGGGATCAGCAAGTAAGGTTGATTGCTGTTGATCACAAAAATGCATTGATTGATTATTTATTTAATGTAGGTGCATACGTGAAAGTTAACCCACAACCCAAGATACTGTCGGTGGATTGTTTTGTTTGAAGCTGTATTTTGCAATGTTTGGTGTTTTTTCATTTAGCATCAACATTTTCTAGTTACTCTGAAATCACCCATTTCCTCCAAATATTAGACCTCGAGCCATGTTATGCTTTATTTTTAGTTCCCAGGTTCTGTTTTCAAGCTTGTCAGACTGAAAATTGAATGTCCTTATCTTTTTGCTTATGAGGTAAACATACTAAAAATATATTATGATGAATATTGAAATAGAGAAGGTTAAAGTTTTAAGTCATAAAAGAAACACCGGACAGGATATATAAATCCTGCAGTAAGCCGATTTAAACAGCTGCCAACAGCGATAATACAGTATGAGGCTTTCCCGTGACTGTCATCCTTCTGTGATTGGCTCAGCTCTCGTAGACCTCGCTGCCCCGAGGAGCAAAGAGTGTCCATCATGTTTATAATTACCTGGAAAGGAGGTCGATCACCCTCACATATTAGCTGCACACAGACAACATTGCAGTAAATAATCCCATCATTTTAACCAGAGGAGGTCAGGCAGACATAAATTTAACGCTGAGCACTTTTGCATGCTGGAGGGCTTTTGTAGGGAGGTTTCATCATCTGAAGGATTGATGCCTTGAATTTCTCTTCCCTCCCCCTGTTTTTTAAAATCTGGAATCATAAACTCATCTAATAGGGATGGGAGACGGTTTTAGTTTCTTTGATTTATACACTTCTAAGTTGCTGTGGATGTCTGACTGCTTTGTACCACTGAAACTCTCCATTAGAGCTTAGTACAAATTGTTCTGATGAGCAACACCTGACAGGAGATGAGAAACAAATCAGTTTTAATGTCTCAGAGGGTCATGTTCTGCTATTAAAACTGCCTTTTTGTCACATCAGACCTGGATGATTTTTAGTGAGGAAAAATGCTTCACACCTTGTTTAAATGTTTATGCATTGGAATTAACTGCGTAAACCTTCCTGGCTCTTGTGAGTTTTAAATGCTTTTTTTTGGGGGTTGTGCAGATTTTAACCAAAATTACCCAGATGTTTTAAAAATAAGGAGCTCTTACTCACCCAGGCTTAATGTTTTGTGGTGTTCTATTTTTACATTAAAGCACGACAGGGACTTTTTTCTCTGGTTCTCTGTTTGTTTTTCTCCAGCATGACATTTTTTAAATTGTGATCTTGGAGGATGCTCGGAGCGGTGGAGAGAAGCTCTGTCTCCGGGACACTGGGTGTCCACGGTGTGAGCAGCTTCAGATCACTCACTTTAGCAGCTAACATTTCAAACGGGCAATAAAGAGAGTCCTAGTCCCTCTAGAACAATAAAACAGTGTTAGAGTCAAGGGTGGATGCACTGTAATGCAGACAGATATTTCTCTGCCACTGCTGCAGCTGCTGTGCTCAGCAGAATGAGACTGAATCAAAGCACATTTACTCCAGCAAAGAAAGAGAGTGTGATCCACTGTAACCTCTAGTTGTAGCACTGACTTTCTCAGCATGGACAGAAGATGTGTGTACCTGGAGAGGTAAGGAGGTCATTAGGCCATTAATGTAATTTATGACCTTAATTAACCTCTGTTAGTGCCGCATCATTGATGGAAGATGTCTTCTCTCAAATACGTCTTTAAAGTACCTTTAATATAAACTCCCCCCCCCCATGTAAAAGAGTTGAGTGGGTGGCTTGGTCTTACAGTGGTAAACACTGTCGCCACACAGCAAGACGGTTTCAGGTTCGACCCCGGCCTTTCTGTGTGGAGTCTGCATGTTCTCCCTGTGACCTGTCCAGGGTGGACCCTGACTCTCGCCCAATGTCAGCTGGGATTGGATCCAGTCCCCCTGTGCGAGGAATAAGTGGTATAGATACTGGATGGAAAAGATGTTATAATGTTTTCATAATGTTTTCTCTCCATATAGACTTGGACTAAGTCTGAGCAAAGAGAGGACTGTTGTCTCCATATATGACAAGCTGTAAATCTGCAGGGGGTGTTAATTTATTTCTGTCCTCCCAGTGCGGGGACACTGGTAGGTAATGATCCTTCATGTCTGATCCTTCTCACGCCTAATTTCCCTCGCAGGAATAATATGGAACAAGAATTTATCCAAGACCTTGACTTGACTGCATATTGTCTTTGTCACATGGGTGTGTCTGTCTTCATGTTGTAATAAGTGGAAGGGTCACTGTTGTTGAGACGGGCGTGTGCCGTCGCCTGTAGTCCTCATTGAAGAGTTTCACTGGATTGATGATGGCACTTAATTGATGTTCTCTGCGTTGACCTCCACCAATAAGCAAAACATTTTAACACTTTGATAGATGTACTTAATTATCAAGTCTGTGTGCTACGAATTTCATGTTCCAGTGTCATAATTTCATGTATGCTGTCACTTTCTCCTGTTTGTAATTCATCAAAGCAGGGATGACCCACAACGTGTTGATCCAACAGCCTTGTTGTTTGACCCTTATGAAGCAACGACAGCTAATATAAACTAGAGCACCAAATTTCTAACTCTGATTTGTCGCCATCAAAGTCATTATTTACTCCTTTTTGAGTATTTACTACTTTAGGAAATCTTTGAGCTTCATTAACAGTTCAACTGTAAACCATTTTAAAAGATTTATTGTCACTGAATGGTTTGATGGGCATGAAAGTGATGTGAATCATATTCAACTCAACTGAACACCTATGTCATGTTTTGGACTGACATGGTAGAAGTGGAACAGAGACTTGAGCAGAACTGATAATGCAGAAAAAAATGAATAAATGTTTGCCAATGTTTACTATGACACTGTCTATGAAGCTCTATAATACAATGCAAAGTGATGACAAGAATTTACTATACCAAAACAACAAGATTCATAAGAGCTTGAAAAAGGTTTCAGATGCGTGCAAGCAGTGCAAGACACACTGCTCCATGCTGTCTGGGATTGATTTGACTAACTCCAATACTTTAGTGTCAGCTTTCTCCTTCACTTGAGGTGGTAATGTTCAAGATGTCTGGATAATGTCATGTGTTGGTTTGTTTTGTTTTGGTTAAAAAAAAGGAGACATTTTTCACACCAGAAAACCTTGTGTTTGTTAGTTTAGCCTTTTGTACATAAACATGATGTGATTATATTCCGTGCATCTTTAACTTGTGCTTTAGAACAGAGTACCACAGCAGGAGGCATGTTATTTCTGCTGTAGCCTGGTTGAACCTGTGTTGACTTCACTGCACTGACAGTTTTGCTAACAGCTGTAGATCTGCTCGACAGCACTCCCTACTGCTGCAGGTTTAGAACCAAAAGGAGATGCTAGGACTTCTTACTTTTTGGTTCATCATCACTCCCTCACTTTGCATTCGTTAGCTTTGATAGCTGCTGAGTTGTCGAAGAAGATTAGGCAATGAGATCCATTCTGATGTACTCTCAGAGGGGGGTCTCCTGCTCTGCAGTGATCCAGCAGGGACATCACCTAATGATTTATTCATTTGAGAGTTTTTTTCATATTTCTGTTCATCACCATGCTTCTGACTTGCACGTACTCCTCTCTCCCTCCCATCAGCATGTCTTGTGCTATCATCGGGCTCAGGTAAAGCAAAGGAGGAATGCAAGACAAAAAAAAAGAAAACCTTCTCCCCCCTGTGTCTTGTGCTTATTTGCATGCCCGCTCTCCATTAGTTCCTCACACGTCGTGACAAACGCGTTTTGCATAATTATTGATTTCAAGTGTGAAGAATAAATGCCAAGTGCTGCCCATGATTAAGTTGTGGTCTTTCATTTCCTCTGCACATCCTCATCAGGCAGAGCCTTGAAGAGAATCAGGAGATAGATGGGCAGTCTTGTTTGAAGCATGAACTCTAATCCCATAGGAAAGTAGCTTGAGAGAAGCTTTTGAGGATGGTTACCTTTTGTTTTCATGTGGATTCAAGGATTACTTGTAATTAATTAGGACCACCAAAAAAACTGTCAGACAAATTATGCAAACAAAAACAAAACATTTTGAATGAGTAAACACACAATGACACACAAATGCATACAGAAATTATGTCCCTCTTGCCCCATTTTCTTCTCTTCTCTGTATAAAACACACAAGCACATTAAATCCAATTTGCGGCTACAATCCAAAGGCTCTGGCTTGTATAATGGAGGTTAATGAAATGTATTTTCTTCCCTATCTGTGTGTTTGCAGGCAATGCATGCACTATGTCAGAGTACAACAGGCTGAAGAGCATTCTGCTGGATATGCAGCCTGAAGTGCTGAAAACTGGAGAGCACAGCCAGCAGCGAGACATGGAGGAGAAGAGAGCACTGGTGGACACCATGTTCAAATACCTGGATGTGAACAATGACAGTCGGCTGGTCAGTGATGAGCTGGAAAAGGTGGGTATCGAGCTGATATGGCCTGAACAATATGATAAAGACAGATACATGTTTAAGATGAAAGGAGACATATAAACAAGGGAGAGCTATGCCTCTGTATATAGAGTACTCTGTTGTACAAAGGTTGTAGGCACTTCAGATGTTTTGATCCTTACATATTGTGCAGTACCACCATCTTAAATCCACAGAACAACTGTGGCAGTTCTTCAAGATGCCTGGAGCAAAATACCTGCCCACTAAAACTGTGTGCAAGTGTACAAGGGAGAACTGGTGCTGTTATTTGTTAATTTGTTAATAAATACTATTTATAACATAGAAAGCATCCATTTTTGGTGCCTGGAACTTTTGCACAGTAGTGTAGCTCCCAGGTAAGGGCTTGTAAACAAAAATAGAAATTTCAGACCTCATCCAAGAACATTATCTTTGTTCTTTACCATTAAAATGTGAGCTTGTCTGTGCTGACACTGGATGACAGTCAATCAGCGTTTGTCTTCTTTTGTATGTCTCTTTATCACTGAATGTTGAAGGCCATGTGGTCAAACTATAAAGAGGAGTGGATGACATTTAATCATCTTGTTTAACCATAAAACATGTTTGCTGAAATGGTCATTATGGTTATCTGATGGGAAACAGAGGGGGGACTGGAGAAGGGATTGGCACCGACATTTCCAGGATGAGGAAATGAAATTATTGTGGGCATCATCTGGTGTCAGGCATCAGAGATGGGTGTGTAATTAGACTCCTCCCAACCAGGGCTATGATTTCAGTGACTTCAGCCAGAATGCAGTGACCATGTTACTGCTGACTGCAACAGGAAGGCCAAGCTGTCACATTTCAATTGTGCTCTAGCTCTTTCTTATTATATGGAAGTTGAATGAGAGTGGCTGTACAATGCCAAAGAAAACAAGGTTATTAGGTTGAAAATTAATTTGTGCCTGTAAATACAGTTTCAAAAATGCCACTGTAATTAATCTTTGAGTTGTGACAACACGCTTTGTCCCCTGTTAAATGAAAAACAGTGAGTGATTTTTGGCCTAGTTCTTCTGGCAGAAATAAATAATAAAATCCTTTCCTGGCAGAGAGCTGCATTGAAGGACCAAAAAAAATATTTTGATCAATCACAGCTGATAATTACTAATGCTGACATGCTGCCAGGAAATTTTAGATAAGACAAATGGATCCTGCATGAATTCATAAGTTCAGCGAAATAATGCTTTTAAGGATCAAAGGGGGTTTAAGATGAATTCCAGTCAGCCATCCAGAATGTTTCCAGTTAGAGACTTGTGTATTGTCACAGATGGCCTCGGAGGGTAAAGCCATATACTTAGGGTTTGAAATATTCTATCCAAATGCCCAAGGACAGAACAGTCTGTAAACACATGGCTGCAGTCTGCTGTAGGCAATGACAAGAGAAAAAGGTTTGTCACATCCCTCACTTTGCCATGTCACATGTACAGCTCCATATAAAATCAATTAGAGGAGATGAGGAAGCACCGGGCCTATATTTTTAGGCTTGGAAATTATGGAGTTGGAATTAAACATGGAACTTTTGCCTAAAAATACACTTTAAAAAATCTTCACAGAAAATAATCAAATATTAAGTCTTAAAATCTAATAAAACAGCTTTGCAGCATGGCATCATGGGAAATACCATACATCATCATCACAGAGAACGGGCAGAGTGAGCCAGCAGTCTCCCAACCGGAGGGTTGGAGGTTCGAATCTTGGTGCCTGCAGTCCACATGTCGAAGTGTCCTTGGGCAAGACACTGAACCCCCCAAGTTGCCCCCGATGGTTAGAGCCATTGGTTCAGTTGGCGCCACAGATGCCTGCCTCGGTTCTGTACCGGAAACAAATTCCTTGTGTGTGTAACGTACTTGGCCAAATAAAGGTGATTATTATTATTAAGCCTGATGTCAACACGTGCTGCTTTATTTGTCTGAGTTGGTAAAATGAAGTGAAAGTCATTTGTGAAATACCTTCAGAACGTGGGTGAGTGTTATGAAACGACTGTACGGGGTTAAAAGTCACAAGTTGTGGCTAATCCCAAATTATTGCTGTATGTGTCCTGGACCTTTAGTCCCAGGCAAAATGTAAAGGTTTAGCTAACACAGTGCACTATATTTAAAAGTGTAGTTAGGAGCATCTTTACCTTGAAAAGGTCATTTCAGTGCTTTATGTAGCCATCTAAAACAATTCTGACCTGATGTTATGTTTACCTTTTGTATACATGTATATAAGCACAAATATGCTTCTCAGAGATGGCTTCTGTTACCTTTTTCTTTGGTCAGGCCTGTTCTCCATGACTGAGAATTACCACTGAGATATGCTAAATAAAATGATTACATCCTGCTTAAATGCTCCTTAAGCACTTAAATGTAAAATCCAGCATGTTTGACAAAGATAGTTGCATTGAGTTTGGCACTTTTATTAGCTACTGCTGTGCACTGCTAGAGGTTAAAAAAAAAAAAAAAAAAAAAGGCAACATCTTAAACAGAATATAGTGCACCTGGAGTTTTTCAGCAGAAGCTGAGCATTCTTTTTATCTCCCTCAAACTGCTTAATATCACCTATTCAGAGATGGCTCCCCTGAGAAGGATGCACTGCTGAAGTGGAAGAGAGGGCTCATAAATGACAAACAATTGAGGAGAGAGTACTGTGTCTTCCCATCGGAACATCTTTGAATTAACTCAGCTTCGCTGTGCGCAAGTGTCAGCAGTAGCAATACAGCACCAGTTAAAATTTGACACACATTCCCACTGAACTGAATGAGAATATGTGTCCAAAGCTTTGACTGGTGCTGTGCTCTTAAAAGGGAAGGCAATCAGAGACAGCACTTAAGCCTTTAAAACTGAATGAAATTACTGTCAGAATGAGTCTGTTTATGTACCTTTTCCTTCTGATGGAAATCTTGTTTTAATTATGGGTGGAATGAAAAGCTCTTGCTAACCACCACTACTCATAAAGCCAATTATATTGTGTGCGTTTTACCATTTTTTTGTTGACTCTGGTAGAAACTCAAGTTGATGCGTCTTGTAGCACCTGGAACAGCAAAAGTTGAAGCTTTCATGAGATTTTACTGGAGGTTTACATTATGCTGTATCTCTTTTAAAAAAAAGAGCAAAGGCTAAATTTATATAATTTACAAGCAGTAAGATATGTGAAATCCGAATGTTGGCAAGTATACAGTCAGATTTCAAGGAGCCCACGTGTCCTGGAAAACCTGGAATTTCTTAAACCAGTTTTACAGTCATGCAAAAGGCATGGAAATTGAGATAAATTTTAAAATGTCCTGAACACTTTGACATACTGGAAAATAATTTTCACATTTTTGCATTTTCCTTTTACTGAGAGCAAACTGTCAGATCTCCTTATGAGCTGGCATCATTGAAAATGTCCTGGAAAATAATCTCTTGAAAAGAGTGGGATCCCTGTGATTTCTATGTATACAGAATGTGCATTATGTGGTTCTGTCTTACAGCAGAAAGTTGAAAATAAAAAAAAAATTAAAAAGGTCATGATAAGGTGTCAGGCTTTTTGTACCTGTGCGTGGTAATTGCCTTTATCACTGCATTTTCCCAATTGAATTTTTCTTTGTTCTGACTAGGAACGATTAATCGAATTTTATTTTCAGTTACAATTTTGGTTTTCAGCAATTACTATGAAAACAGAACAGTCAATTTTAAAATGATTATCGTGCCACATGCTGTTTCGCAGCAGTGCTCTCATTTTGTCTTGTTATAAATCTAGCGCATCCCTTCAGCGCTTTACAGTGCGAGCTTTTTTTGCTCACATGAGCTGAAGTGAAACATCATTGGAGTTGACCACGCCTAAGCTTGTTAGTGTACATGCAATAAAACCTGCGCGAGTAAAAAAAAAAAAAAAAAAAAGTCAATAAGAGTAATTTATCAACACGGTTGCTAAACGAGCAGAAACCTGCGATGCGATGATTTCAGCTTCTCTTGCACCACCATGTTGGTGTTAACTGTACAATGTCAGCTTGTTACAGTTATAAACAAGCTAAAACAAAAAGATGACTGTACATGTGTAGCCTTACTGTTAAACAAGAGAGAGAGAGAGATGTTGCTGTAATGCTGAGCCCTGCAGATTCTTTAGGTTATGACAGGCAATATTGTTTCCCTAAAGCAGCAAAGTTTGTAAAGTAAATTTACCTAAGTAATGATGATGGTTTCAAAGTCACTGAGGAATCCTTTTAAATAACCATGATCTCAGTATTGACCAAAGTGATCATGATTATGATTTTTGCCATAATCGTGCAGCCCTAGTTCTGACATACTGTATGTTTGAACCTGTCCTGCGTGTTTGCATGTGTCAGCTCTCCATGAAGGAGCATCTGGAAGACAGTCTGCTGGAGTGCACCGTGCAAGACCTGCTGCGTTACGACGACTACAACAACGACGGACACCTCAGTCTGCACGAGTTCTACACGGCTTTTCGTAAGTCTTATATTTTTGTCCACAATTTGCCCTTTTACCACTCTTTTCTTTCTTGTCTGTTTTCCACTCATGCTCATTTTCTTACAAATTAAAAAAAAAATAGAGATATAAAGCATTTATCCCAGAAATTGTGATTGTGTAAAACTGTCATGCTTAAAGCTAATTTTATGGCCTTTCTGCTTCTAAAATGTGAACTCTCCACTTTGCCTTAAAATTTTTTTATAGTTGTATTTAAATCTCATCTGCCTATGTACATGTTCTGCTAAAACTGTGTGCCAGTTTACACCTGTACATCTTTTAACTACTTTAGTTGACAAACTGTGTAATATGTACATGCTGCCAGTGCTTTTAGAAAGCACCACTCACTGCCGCCACTGTCTAGACATGCCTTTTACAACACCCCACCCAGCCTCTCCAGGATAAAGGTTTTTCCAGCCACAGATAAACTGATAATTGCACACTAGCCCGTGTGCCCAGACCCATCCATGATTATAGCATCTGGTACAGCCATAATAGCCTTTGGGGTTTAGGCTGAGTGACAACTGAGAGGACAGACAGGTTCCATCTTATTAAGACCAATAATCACATTTCCAACACTGACTGTAGTATCAGTAGCCTGGTCACCATGGCAACATTCTGAAATTACTTTTTTCCACACTTTCTCTTCTATTTCTTGCTTAAAACTGAAGTGAGATTACTTAAGTCTGAATCTAGAACAGCAATAAACTTGGTAAAGTTGAAGAATCTGGCAGTTAGCTGTGGCAGGGGGCCATTCGTAAGGCTCTCCAGTACCTTCAGCCCGTGCAGGTCCGTTAAGTCTCACCACTAATTAGCTTCCTAATGACTGGTTTTAGTGAGAACTATCGGGCTATTATTCAGTTACACTTGCCTCGCCTTCCAGATGGACAGTGAGCAGACACTGTATGGTATTTATCTACCTGCAGCCCTGCCTGCAGCCTTTAGGCTAGGAGACCAGATTTATCAATGCATTTTATGTTTGACAAGTAGTTCAAGGAGAGGGTTGGGACCAGTAAAACTAGCTATTGATCAGATGATGCTCAAGGTTAACTGTTGGGCTGCAGACAGGAAACACCAACAGGGAACAGTTGATTTGGAGCGGAGCATCTGGTGTTCTGGATAATGTTGATGGTTTTGAATTGGGGCGGTTTGCATGTTAAGTGTGTGTATAACTGCAGGACAGTCTGTGTGTATTTGTGTGTTTTCCTGGGATCCAGTCTGTGCTGACCGGCCTGGGAATAAGAGTAGCCAGGAATCACAGGTGTGTTTAGCAGGGCAGAAACCTACCTGTACAGTATGCTCACACGCTTGAACAAGTAGGATATTGGATCTATATGATGTGAGGAGGGATTTTGAATTGGTTGGTTCTCTACTGCCACATTGAGTGATTTCAGCTTGAATGTATGAAATGCAAGCTTTAGTCATGAGATCCAGTAACTCAAAGCACAGTGATAGCGAGCGTCCTCAGCAGTCCTCCTTCAGTTTTCATGGCTTTTTCTGTTCTGCAGCTTCAATGTAAGAATAAAAAGCCTTTGGCCATTTCTCCAACTTCATTGTTGCTTCCACATTCACCAATTGTCCTGTTGTCTTTGCTTTATTTACCATATAAACCTTGACAAGCACACAGCTCTACAAAGCTCTGTTCTGTTGCCTCCCAGATCGTTTTTCTTATTTTTACCACAAATTGAACAGAGGGGGATATTCTTGAAGAATACTTCTGAAATAATTGCATTATTATGGATTTTTTTCCCCTTATTCTTCCTTTCACAAGCCCAGTAGGTTGTTTTTATGAGTTTCTTTGCTTCTTCGACTTTGACTGCCTCCTTGCCACCTCTGTTGAATAGATTCTACTTAAGCTCCTATTTCTGTCTTTGGATTTGTAACTTGATGTTACCGATCTACTGTAGTCTCAATGACACCTACTGGAAGATGACACATTTGCATTCAGATGCTCAGACATTTAGGCCCTGTTTAGACTTGGTATTAAAATCCATCTCAGTGATCCAAACACAAGTGGACAGCTGAGACACAACACCATTCACATCTGTCAATACACATGTATCTCCAAGGTGTACAGCTGACCGCTTGTGTTCAGATTTTCCAACTAACGCAACACTTCCGCTTAAATATCGAAGGGCCATGGGCACAATTATCACATCAGTCTGTTACCAGACAAGCACCAGTAGTCTTTCTAACCAAAGAAGAAGAAAAAGACATGTCAGGTTTGTGCATGGATGCATTATGAAAGCTTTCACAATACACTGATGGATTTGTATCAGACATTTCTCTTTACTTTTTCTTTTTTTTTTTTGAGCATCAGTGCGCTCTCACCAAAGCAGCCGTCATGTCCTGCATCGATGACGTATTTTTTTCTAATGGCCTTGTCAGAGACACATCAGGATGTATAAGTGTTTCCACTACAAAAGATTGTGGTCCGATGCATCCCAGACCACCTGGGCAAGTAGTTTCATTGATCAGATAACAGTCCACCTTGGTGGTCGTTTACACTTGTATTTAGCACTGTCCACTTGTTGTTCAATTGCCAGTACATATTTAAAACCTAAAAAAATCGACAGTATAAACAGGGTCATAGATTGCGTTAATATAATTTTTAATTCCTATATACTCAGGTTTGTAAGTAAACAGCACTGTGTAGAGTTGTAGTGACAAATGCTGGAGAGAGAATCAGAAAGTCTCTTGATCTGACATAAATGATAGAGAAGATGTGCTTTAAAACCTGTTATCCTCTAGGAAAAAGGTTGGGAACCACTGTCTTAGAGCATACTGTAGGATAGAGATAATAACAGCAGAAGGGCTTTAAATTAGCTGTGTAGATTTCTAGTCGTGCATGTCTTCACTGGGATCTGTTTCCTAGCATTTATTACAGTGTCAACATCATGTAGGAGTGGAAGGCCTGTACACATGCCCTTTGTATCAGAATTAGAGCAGCTGTAATTATACAATAATAAATGTGCAGGAATTTGCCCTGCAGACGTTGGCACTGATGCAGGAGCTGGGATGATTCACATTAGCTGTTCAGTAAAAGACAGTGCATTAGGGCTAAATTTCACAGGTGACCAGGCTGGTTGAGAGATACCTGCTGCCTGTGACCAGTACTCTACATTCACACAAGGTCATCAAAGCTTTTATGTGGATACACGTGTAGTGGATAAAGCCTCAGTGGAGTGATGAACGGTCTGCATGTGCCTCTGATAGGTGCCCTAGACTTCATAATAGAAGCTTTCTTTCAGTGTCAGCAAGGCAGGCACAGTACATAAATTCACTGAATACTTCTTTAAGAGGCCGTTTGTTCTTATTGCTACGAAACAGAGGTTGGTGGTTGTGTTGGAAAGCAACACAAAATTAGAAAAGCCAAAGATAATGAACATAGAGCAGGGCAAAAAAAATCTGTTTTTCAGCTGAAATGATTCCAAGATTCTTGTAACTAATAACTCTTATTGAATGTTTGTCATATTTGAAGAGTTTAATTTGACATAAATAATCTAAGGGATTAATTAATACCTTCATTCAAGCAACATACACCAAAATGTGTCCAGACAGCATGGGCCTAAATAAAGCATACTGCTACTTCTGTTTTAGCCCTTCAGCAGTGAAATTATGATATTTGTTTCTCCCTCGTTATTTATCTGTGTCTTTCAAGGACTGTCTGGAGGAAGGGCCTGCTAGTTGTTTTTTTAGAGCTGAATACTGGGAGTAGAATTTGTAACTCATCCACACTATGGCTCTTACCCTTGAATTTCCTGCTATTAAACTAGAAATCTTGGTGTGATTATGGTCAAACTTAAAAATGGTCTTGGCTTAAGTGCAGAAACTTTGGGACTTTTAGAGACTCTTCAGATCCTGCAGGGAGCAGCATGAAGCAGCAGAGCAGCCAAAATAATAATGGTCATGAAGTCAAGCTAATGCCCCTGAGCGCAGCTCCAGTGGCAGCCCATTGGTTTGTTTATTTCACTAAACCTTCATGATTGACTCTGGGTCATCAAGCCTGCAAATTGGGAAAGTAACAGAAGAGTAAAGGACGAAAGTACCAGAAGAATCTGACATGTGAGAAGGAGAAGCAGCGGGGCAGCAGCAGAGAGACAGCAGGCAGCTAGTGGAAAGGTTTAAAGGAAGAGGTATTATTCTTTCTGTTATCTCTGTGCTGGCCGTCACCATGTGCTGACATGGCTGTCTGAAAGGTTTGCAGTTATAATATTTGTATTTTACCTCATGGTTTATGATCCTGGAGGAGCAATCTAACTGAATTTTCAGCAAGATTTATTTATTTATTTGTTTGTTTTCTCTACAATACGAAATGCTGGAAGTGTTTTGATAGCCAAAAAGTGTGTGTCAAGGTCGCAGGTTTTCTGATGACATTACAGTGATTTATAGGGCTGAGGTCTGCTTATCGGACTTGCAGAAATACACTGTGGTTGAGTATGTAACTATACAGCTGTATTCCTGTTATTATATAGCCTTTTTCGGACACATTGCTGCTTCGTTAGTCTGTTGAAGTGGCAGCTTTCTGTCATTCAGATATATTGTAGATATATTTTAAGTTACTTTTTCTTACGGCTTCATTCAAACATACCCACGGCTGTGACGGAGAGTGCCTCTGTAAGTTGAGAAGGGCAGAGGGGCCTCCTCTTCTCCTCTGGAGTGGAAAGCCCAGCAGGAGAAATGAGAGAAAGTGGAAATAGATGATAGAAAATGAGAAGGTTGTTAGAGTCAGGAAAAGAGCAGGCTAGGTCAGATGAGGGTCAATAGGCCTGTATGTACAAATGGGTGACAAATCATGTTCATCCTCCTCCAACCATTCAGTGATCCCTTGTGTCCTACAGTATGGATGGGACACTGTCATCCTGGAAGAGACCATTCAGTTATTCAGACTATATTGTCCCCAGAGGGACAGTTTGTTTCCGTGGGTATTATCCACGCCTCTGGAACACAGATACATCTGTAAACACACACACTCTGCCCCA